ATGTGATTGCACTTTCTCACTAGTTAAACAAATTCAACAATCCTCCAAACTATGTGATTGAGTAGATTCTTTAATCTTTTTGCGTTAGAATCTCATTAAAATCCCCTACAACTAGCCACAGATAGTCAATCAAATTAGCAATATTTTTAAAACTATCAGATAGTTTTAAACGATCAACATAGATCGTACTGCATAAATAGCAGTGAACCAATAAGTAGTTTTTCTATGGAATACCTGAATCATAGCATGAATTTCCCGAGGAAACTATTTTTTTCCTTGTGACTGTAATGAAGTTGGAAAGCCAAAGCATGACAAGATCACATGATATACCCTGAACAGAACCTCCTAGTAATCGTCAAAATAAAAATCAATTATAATGCTAAGGTGATTATCTATTTTTGTTTCCAGAAGAGTGACCATGCAAGAGTTATGTTTTTAATAAGTTTTTAAAAGCTCCTCTTAAAATTGTCATTATTTACCCCACGAGTGTTCCACACTATGAAACTAGTAGGTTGATTCATAGGAAAGTAAAGTGAGCGAGGGAATTCAGCATTGTCCATCACAGAGAATTTTGACTCTGTTTCATTGTTGGGGCCATTACCACAACATATTTGGCCAGTGCACTGTTCATTGCTAGCCTTAGGTCGAAAGAGCACTTCATTAGAGATAATGGACAGTTGTGGATGTATTTTTTTTTCCTCGTCCTCCAGGAATATCATAAGGGCTGCATTTTTTAAGCTTGACATTTCAGTGAATGAGGTCCTTTTTAGTAGGCGTCCCCCTTCCCCCTCCTAGTTCTCGTGCTACTAGTGGGGGGATATTTCTGGGATTTAGTATTATGGTAGGGTAATTTTGTTGCACTGCTATCCGAAACCATGGAAAAAAAAAGAAGATTGTTGTTGACTAACTCCTATGGGGCGTAGAAAGGAGTTCAGATTGAGTTGTTCATGTTGGTGTAAGGATTGAAGTGGTGTGGAAGATTTCACAGAGTTTGCATGACTTGGATGAAGAATGGAGTAACTAAAGGGGGTAATGAGTCTAGGACATTGGTCAATCATATGTGGTTCACAAAGTGCTCCATCATAATTTTCATACCTTTCGATATCAATTGAGCGAGGAAGTTTTGGTTTTGTAAGATGATTATCGTCTCCACCCCATTTATGTCCATGGAGAAGATGATTGTTTGTCCCTACAGGCTAATCTCTAGTCGGGACTGGGATGGTGGAGAGGATGAACTAACTGAGTAGCAAATAACAGTGGGTGCTGATTATTTGTGGGGGGATGGGAGGAATGTTGTTCATACTGGTTTGAAGAATTTCGGAGGTCGGGAAAGTAGAGAGAGTTGGATTTTTCGGTGAAGAGGAATGGAGGTCCTGAACACTGTATTTGATTGTGGTATTAATGGAGTTAGAGTGTATGTAATCGTGTGATGATTGCTTATCTTTATAAGATGGTATGCTTGAAAAGTTATTGGCTGAAAGTTTTGTGAGCAGGTGGAAGAATTATTGCTTGGTAAATCATTAATGCAAATTTGCATTACCACTTGGCCGTTGGGGTTGGCCAAGTGTAGTAGCTGATTGTTTATTGGCGAAGTAGTATATATTTCCATCTCAGCCCTAGGTTTTCCTAGATATTTTTTTAAATGGTGGACCCATAAGGGGTTGTTAAAATAATAGGGTTTCGTTGGGGGTTTGACACGTCGAAAACACCAGGTATATTATCAAAACTGTCCCTCTTAGTTTGTGTCGAAGGACAATTCTTGTTTCTAATTACATTGATAGGTCCAGAGCTAATGAATTATTGTTGGAGCTACCATACGTGGAAGAAGTGATAGGGTCCTTCAATTTGTTAAGGGCTTGAAATTTATTATTGCATTGGAATTGGTAAATAATATTGTTGGGATTTAAATTAAGATTATCTGAATTTTCATGGACTTTAGGCCTGAAACTAGCTCTTGTGTTTTTTATATCAATAGCAGTATGAGAAACAGAACGACTCCCGTATTCAATAGATAAAAAATTGTTTTTGGAATTAGAAAGGTTACCTGAGTCGGCCGCAATTTTTTCATTAATACCTGGTGAGCTTAAGTGGATCGTATTAGTTGTAGATTAATGAATGACTGTGATATCTCTGAATTTGCAATATTTTTTAGTAAACTTTACCATTTGCCATTCCTCTGTGCCTTTTTTACCATTTGTATCGTCTTGGGAGTTGGATGGTGTTGTTGGCGCTTTGCGGTACATGCATCTTCCAATTGTATGGCCTAATCAGCCGCATTTCGTACATAAGAAGCCTTCACATTCGTAGACGGTGCTCTATATATGGCTACCAATCTGTATGCAGCTTATAATTGAATCCTCTATTGGGATCTAAACGCAAAGTCTTGCATACCTGCCTCGTAGGGTAGAGCTTGTATAAGAATCAATTTTTAATAGTCTACCAATAGAGTTTTCAATCTTTTTTAGTAGAATTACATCGTAGAATTCAATTGGTAATTGTGGAAGTCTCACCCATACAACTGAGTATGTGAGTGTGGCCTTCTCAAGGATGAAGTTTGGTGTCCATCTTTGGATTGAGAGAAAGTGGTTGTTTATAAACCAAGGACGATTCTGTAGAACTTTGTTCATATTTTCTTCCTTTGAAAACTTAACTAAGAAGTAGTTTGACCACAAATTGATGAGAGGGAATTGCTCCATAGGGTTCCATAATTTTTGTATTTTTTCTCTCAAGTATTGATGAGTGATTTGTTGACCTAGCTAGGAGCTTAATGATGAGGGAGTGTTTTCAAGGTGCGTACAATCTTTTGTTGTCTATCTCGGAAAGGAGAATGGTTTTAATGCCATTAGTGGCTTTATCTAGTTTGTCATGATTAATTTGGACAGTTGGTGCATTAACACCAGCTAGATCGCTGCACTCCTCCATGCTTAAATCAGCCATATGCTCATTGTCCATCAATTTTGTCTAGAAGCTCTCTCTTGTGGGGCTCTAAATCAATATATCGGGAGGCTTTGGAGGAATATTATCGATGATTACATTTATGGCGTTACTGTTCATAGTAGAGAGAATTATTTGACTCTTTTCAGCTTCAATATTATTTACCTTCATTGCTCAATTAAATAGAGAATAATTTCTTAAGAGAAATAAAATATGCATAAACCATTTCAATTTTTAATTGATTGTTTCATTTTTATTAGAGGGCCTAAAAATTTCTATTTCAAAATTGCTCATTTTAATTCTTATCATTCATTGTTCATTATTTTTACATATGTGAACAAAATATACATGTTATGTTTTTTGTTTTTTTTTAAATGGCGACGATGTTCTCAAGCAGGGGCAGATCTATAAGGCCCGTGGGGTGCCACACCACCCACAAGATTCGACGAAAACACTATATATATATATATATATATATATATATATATTAAACAAGCCACCCAGTGAATCAAAGAACTCTGTAATGCCAGTGGCAAAGGGTCATATAATCTGGCTGGAGATCTCGAGATTAAATCCTGGTGAATGCTTTTTAAAAAAAAAAAATTGACAACACAACAAAAAAATCAAATCCCGTTGAATGCTTCTAACAATTCTTTTCTTTTCTTTTCTTTCTTTGTTTCTAAATTCTAATTGTTATATTGATTTATTATAAAGTATTACTCCTAATAAATAATTATTTTTGATTAATTTAATTTATTAAATTTTGACTTTTCTTTATAATTTATTAGTTAATATTTATTAAAAGATAAAAAAGCTAAAAAGAAAAGTTTTTTCTCTTTTCAAACCGAAAACCATGTTGGTATTCTTCTCCAAATATCAACCTCCCTTGCCCAATCGCCTCGCTGCTACTTTTTCCTCCGTCTAGATTTGAGTTACCAATTCGATACTTTCACAATTCATATGTGAGGTGCTAATTCCAAATTCTTCAACTTGCAAGGAATTTGTGATTTGACAAAGGCATTGAATGAGAGTTTGAGACAGATTTTGTGGAAACTTATTCACTTGTTTATTTACTTGTGAAGTTGACTCTAATTTTACATGTTGATACGATAACTGTGAAGATCGAGGGCATTTCCATTCACAAAGAACATAAAACTGAAGTGTGGAATAACATTGATCATCAATCTTTAAGTAATTATTGAATGTGTTACATAGAGCGTAATGTATTCGTAAATGTAAATAATGATGTCATCATTGATCGTTTTCAAATTATGAAAACTCATCGAGGTCAATTTTAATTGAATGATGAATATTTTATGACATTAGTAATATTATTGAAAGTTTTAACTTTGTGATCTTAGTCGAATGCGGGGTGTGAATTTGTAGTATGCATAATACATAAATTGTGATCTTATTATTGTTCATATTTTGTTGTTTGACTTGTCATATAGACTGAAAAGACGAATAATTCAATTCGAAGCCTAAATTGATTTAATCGATAAATTTACTTGACACCCAGTGATTTTAAATCCTGGATTCGCCTCTGTTCTCAAGCGATGGTAATAGTACATTTTGCATAACCAAGAAATCCTTTGATCTTTGTCACAATGTACATTTTCAACTTCCTTCATAAATTGATTGTTTTTAAAAAAAAAATGTAATTTAGTGCGAATTTGTTTTAAATTATTTTATTTAATAGGGCTAATAAGGCTTGGTTCTAAGTAAAATAGAATTTTTACTTAATTTATAAAAAAAATCATTCTAAATTTACTGTTTTACGGACAAATTTCCTAATATGGTATATAGAAAACAAAATAGAGATGAATTGATCAATAAGAATTGGAGTGGAATGTTACCTTCAAGGCCGGTCAAGGACATCGGGGATCGGAAACAAAAAAAAAAAACAGAGATGGATTGTAGTTTAGATTGCAATAGAATATTACAACTCTTTTTCAAATGTTCAATAAAATGAGTGTTCAAATTTTGATTCATTCAGAGAAGAAAGGTGGAGTTTGTTGGAGAAAATTGTGAATGAAGACACAATCTCCAGAGCTGCTACAATTACAATGATATGGAAGAAATACGCAGGGTTTGCATTTCTTTACCCTCATCATCTTCTAAAATCTTCTACACTTTCAGTTTTAAGTAATGCTATAAATCCAGTTCCCATAAAGCTTCAACATTATTCTTCTTCGCCTTTGCTTCCAGTCAATGTCCAAGTCATTCATGCCAAGAAAATCAAAGACGGGTCTGCTCGCGACTTACCTATCAGTAACTACGTTTTAAATCTTTACACAAAAAGTAACCATTTAGCCTCTGCACAGAAGCTGTTTGATGAAATTACTCAAAAAGATGTTCGAACGTGGACGATACTCATATCGGGTTTTTCTCAATTTGGGTTTAACGGAAATGCATTATCGTTGTTCATTAAGATGCGAAAAGAGGGTATTGTTATTCCTAATGAGTTCACTTTATCTAGTGTTTTCAAGTGTTGTTATAGTGTTAGTAACGGGCTTAGATTAGGAAAGTCCATACATGGCTGGATTGTCGTTACTGCTGCAGTTGATTTGGATGTTGCTTTGGAGAATGCTATACTTGATCTTTATGTTAAATGTGAGTCTTTGGATTATGCTAAACGCTTCTTTGAACAGATGAGTGATAAAAACGTCGTATCTTGGAATATAATGCTGGCAGGATATCTCGGTACAGATGATATGGAGACAAGTGTCAAACTTTTTAAAATAATGCCTGAAAAAGATGTTTCCAGTTGGAATACAATCATTGATGGACTTTTGCAACATGGGTTTCATAGGGATGCCCTTAAGCTCCTACGTCAAATGACCTTAGATGGGACTTCTTTTAACAATGTTACGTTTTCTATATCATCAGTGTTGATGTCTTCGCTTAGAAATCTTGAATTAGGAAGGCAAATCCATGGTAAAGTGATGAGGTTGTCAATGTACAAAGACACGCTTGTAAGGGCCTCGTTAATTTTTATGTACAGCAAATGTGGTCAGATGGAGAAGGCTTCTAGGATTTTCCAAGAATTCCATCAAGGTATTGTTGAAGTACAACATTCACATTCTGTTCCGTGGAGTACAATTATATCAGGTTATATTCACAATAGCATGCTGAAAGATGCTTTACAAGTCTTTAGCTCCATGGTACGTGATCAATTGGAAGTTGATGTGTTTACACTGTCAAGCATTCTTAGTGCTTCTGCAAGTAGTGGGCTTTTGGAACTTGGCTGGCAGATTCATGGCTATGTCCAAAAGCTTGGACACATATGTGACATATTTTTTATTTCAGCAATTATTGACATGTATGCCAAATGTGGAAAGTTAGATTCTGCTCTGTTGTTTTTTGAGCAAACCCAAACTCGGAATATTGTGGTATGGACAACTATGATAAACAGTTATGCTATACATGGAAAAGGATCTGATGCTGTTCAGCTATTTGAGCTTATGCTGAATCAGAGGATTGCACCAAATGAAGTAAGTTTCATTAGTGTCTTAACTGCGTGTGGTCATGCAGGTTTGGTGAAAGAAGGATGCAAGTATTTTAGGTTGATGAAACAAGTTTATGGCATCAAGCCTGGTGTTGAACATTTCTCTTGTATGGTTGATCTTTTTGGCCGAGCAGGTTGTTTAGATGAGGCTTATGATTTCATTCATGAGAAGGGCATCTCTAACATGTCTGAAGTTTGGAAGGTACTCTTATCTTCTTGCTTGGTGCACAAAAATGTAAAGATGGCAAGACATGTTTCTGAGAAATTGCTACAACTTCTGCCAAGTGAACACAGTCCTTACATTCTGTTGTCAAATACTTGTTCAGAGCATGAAAATTGGGATGAAGCATCAAAATTAAGGGGTTTGATGCAGGAAAGGAAAGTTATAAAACATCCGGGTCAATCATGGACTTAGTTAATGAATGAAACCAAGAATTTCACATGGTTGTTATGAGGAAAAAATCAGCAACTAAGTTAGAGATTTATCGAAACAACCTTCCGTGCAACTGAAGACACGCACCTCTGAGAGCGAGATAAGTTTGGGAATGTGAGATGCAGAAGAGGAAGAGAAGAGCAGGCACATATGGATACAGCTTCGGATCACCAGATGTATCATTTGCAGATCCTGTTATGACTTTGATCATGTTACTATTTATTTTTTTGAGTGACTAAGAACAGCAATTGATCAGTTATGACTTTGTGGAATATGTAGTCACAGTTGCCTCAGATTGTCGGACTAACTTCAACTGACATAGCAGAATCTAATTAGAGGTGATTACATATCCAGTGAAATCCCACAAGTGGGGTCTGGAGAGGGTAGAATGTACGCAGACCTTACCACTACCTTGTGGATTATGTTTGAAATAGTATGAAGATCATGTGACTTTATGCTTTCTGTTTAAAATGTTGTGCCTTTAAGTCCCAGTAGTCGTATTTGTGGAACCTTTATATCCACTAGAGTAACTTCTCTTTGGGGACAGTTTGTAACAGGGTGTCTTTTACTATTCTTAGTTTTCAACAGTAAAACATTCTCATGTCCATTTACATTAGCACCAATGATATCCAGAAACCATATTGATGAATGTCTTCTTTTCCAGGTAGCAACTCTCAGCTTTCTCCACCTCATTGGAAATTCAATGTTCTAAATACATACATGTGTATAGCTTTTCACGAACTATAATTTATAGATGATGTTATTGTGTCTTTTCACTACCAGGCGAAGCTGTTAAAAGAGGATGCCCATGAAGATTTAAATTGAACATGAAGGGTTAGATATTCACAATAATGTGCAGTAAGTCATTTCTACGAAATCGGTACTTCAATTTCTAATTTCTATTGAGAAATCTCTTATTCTCCTGTATGAAGATGTTAATATATTTGGGACTAGCATTTTATTTGATGTCTACATTCACAACTCATGTAAAATTAACCCAAGAGTTGAGCTTTACTTGTACAAGACTCTGTATTTGCCACCCTAATTGGATTGTATCACTTTTATATGACGCTCAAAGAACTTCTCAACTTGAGTTTAAAGCGCAAAAATATGGTATAAGCCTCATTTTTGTAACTCATAGGAAATAACCATGTAAATTTGCTAAAGTCATCAATGAAAGAAACATAATAACAAATTTTTTTGCTAGACAATTGTTGAGAAGGATCCCATACATAAGTGTGGATCAATTCAAGAGGATAAGGAATGCTAGAACCAGTGGCGGAGCCACATGTAATTAAGGGGTGTAGCTAGAATATAAATATTTTTGTTATGTATATATATTACACATTGACACTCCTTGACTTCTACACAATTTTATTTCTTTATATTTTGGTACCCCTTAGGCGAAATTCTGGCTCCACCACTGGCTAGAACTGAAAATAAAAAATGGCTACTTATGACTCTTCCCATATGAATTGGATTATTGGAGTTCATATTGCATTATGTTTATCTGTGTATTCAACAATGAATAAAGATATATCATTATGGAATACTCCTAATTATTAAAAGTAAACAGTTAAAAAGCTGAAACCAAAGTAGAAAGAAGATAAAGGTAGAAAAAATAAATAGTACCAAGGAGGATAAGAAACATTCATTGTCCACTTATTTAAAAGTGATTGATCAATGCAATAAGTTACAAATAAAAAACAACTTCTTGCCTATGCTATTCAAAACAAAAAAGAAGGAATTTATATTCCCCTTGGACAGAAGACCAACCAATTTTCTCTTCAGTTGTTTCAACTCTTCGATCCCTTTCACATATAAATATCCTTCTCGTAATTTTTTGTCTTTTCTTTGAGTAAGCTAAAATCCTCACTCTAACTCAAAATATTAACCCTAAATGAAAGATTCTTTCCCATAAAACATCAGAGTTAGGAGAAAAAAGTTATTATGAAATCATAATTACGAATATTTACACAGAATAAGGTTTTGGAAGAGGCATATCCTTGATGATTCCACACAAGACATCATTGTCTGGCATGTTATATTCATCTTTCAAATCTCTTTTTGGAGAAAGGGCGCTAAAGTAAAGTTGTTGCCCCAAGTATTGTCTTTCCACTGAGTTGGATCTCAGGTTCCAAAGACCAGCATTATCAAGAGTGGTCATTATGGCTGCCCATGAGTTGGGATAAACTTGGATGGTATTCCTGGATACTGCATCAAGCAAATTGTAGTTCTTCCTCTTCTCTGGGGTCCATTTTCCAGGTTCAATCCTGCATGCACAAGGTAATTTAATTATATTACTGTTGTAATACCCATGATTTCAACTTAACATGTTCAATTTTTAATATTCCAGCATAATACTCATAATTAGAGGTACTCACGCAACAGTGAAGAAGGAGTATCCGGCCAAGTGAAAAGATTGTACACTCTTTTCATGGTTCTCAAAGATGATCTCCACAAAGTTACGGTAAGTGACTTTAACTACATTGGGTGCGAGTGTGATCTTCTCTTCTGCTTTCCCAACTGGAGGTTCATATTCATCCTTCATAAGGTCATATTTGAAGATCTTATCTTCAACACCATAGTATTCAGCCAACTTAATTGGGGTTGTAGGGTTCACATGTGAGACACCATTGATGGCATATCGGAGCTTTCCGTCCACTGTCCCGGCTGTATTCACAAGTTTGATGGTGCGTGTAATGTTGATTTGGCCGTAGTGGTATGATCCTTGTGGATTAGGTCTAGCTGCACTTGCCGTTAAATTCCAACGGAAAGAGCGAAATTGGTTGAGTGACCAAGCCCAACCAATTGGGGCTTTTGGCAACTCTGGTGAGGCAGGGCCATTGCCATTAGTGTAACGGATTATGGATGTAGCAGTGTGGGGTTCCTTGGTGAATCGCGTAGAGGCCACAAGGAGGTAATCCTTGGGATCTTTATCAGCAGTCACTAAGACAGAGACGCATTGTCCCAAGTGAATATCTAGTGAATCATACATGTTTTGCACAACGTGAGATCCTTCCATTTCCACCAATTTCATGGTATGCCCTTGGATTCTAACATTGATGGAATCCTTCATACCAGCATTACAAAACCTATACCTATATGTCTTTCCAGGGGTCATAGAGAACATTGGCTCATCTTTTCCATCGCCTTTTCCACCTTTTCCATTGATGATTATTCCATCAGGCCTTCCCATCGAGCGCCCACTGTCCAAAAACTTTCTCAATTGAGTATGACTTTTGGTGTACCAATCACTCACCAAGACAAAGAACTCATCGGCAGGGTTAATATCAAAGGGGATGGGAATCAATGCACGACTATGGACACTTATTCCACCATATCCACCAGCTGCTCGATGCAAAGCTGTGGTGGGGTAGTAAAAAAAGCTTCCAATTTGATCCTTGACCTGGAAATGGTATGTGAAATTGCTCCCTGGAGGAATGGGACAATTGGTGCCAAGGGTGCCTTCTTGCCAAGAGTTTTTCCTTTGTTGGATGCCATTCCATGTGAAAAGGAATGGCTCATCCAACTGGTTGAAGACATTGATAACAATGTTATTATTGGATGTGCCATTGATTATAGGTCCTGGAAATTTATCATTGATCAAAATAACTTGCTGAGGAACACCAAGAGGAGAGATGGTACCATAAGTCACTTTCCATTCAAAGGTCAAAATAGGATCTCCTCCTTTCACTAGTGATGTTGAAAGACACAACACTATCAACACGAGACCAAATCTCAACTTTTCCATCTTATCTTTTCCTTTTTTCTATTTTTTTTTTCTCAGTTTAATTTTAATAGAAACAATAAAATGAGTTTCTATTGATAAAAAAGACAATCAAAGAAATGATTGTGCATTATGTTGAGAGTGACTAACTTAACTTTTTTATTTATTAAGTGGTATGTGAGGTTGTATGGTGATGTAAGATTAGTGATTGATTGTTGGCCAAACAAAAATATCCGTAAAAGTTTCAACACTCATCCGCATGCATCGTTTGCTCAATGGTTTTTGCAATTGTTTGTTATTACATATAATAATAAAAAATTGTGAAGTTCCACTTATTTTTAAAGAAAAAAAAAACACCATATGTTATGAATATATTGAAGTGCGCATTCTTTTCTTAGACAAATAAAAAGAAAAGTTATAGTTCATTCTTTTCTGAATGATTGATGCATCATTCATTAGAACTCTTCTTAATATTCAAATTTTGGCACATAATTTCAATTTGTTATTTAAATTGGATTCAAATGGCGAGATAATATTTTTTTACCTTTAAATATGTATCTGTCTATTTTAATATCCTACAAGGATACATTAGAAAAAATAAAGTACCTAATTTCTTTTAAAATAGTCACTCTACATCTATCCATCTATATCTATATTTATCTATATTATATTAAAATCATAACGGTCCTTGAAAAGGTTAATTAAACTTTTTGCTATTCATTAAAAGCTTCTACAAAATCTTCACAACTATAACTTACATGAAACCAGCTCAATCTAACAATTCACAATTTAAACAACTCATAGCTCAATGAAAACACTGAGACGATTTTAGATCAACAATACACAGGATAAAGCCATCAATCACAATTCCCTCACAAAAGCAATCACAAGCTCACCATGATAAAGATATGCAATACAATGAAATGTAATGCCAAATATAGTGATGCATGCATGGCCTAGTGATACACATCCACTGTCTCTCAGTCTGGGACACATGAGAGACTTATCAATATATGCATCTGTACCGACGTGCGACATAAAGCTCGATAATAGAATTTGTCGTGGTGTGCAACATCCTTGGTTAATAGAATTTGTTGTGGTGTGCGATTCATCCCTCGATAATAGAATCCAGCGTGGTGTGCGACACGTCCCTCGATAATAAAATTTGTCATGACGTGTGACACATCCCTTGAATCATAATATCCGTCGCGGCACGCGATACATCCCTCAAAATGGTACATTCTCTTTAATTCCTTATTTTTCCTCAATTCACATAATACTTGCCACAACTATGTCTAAGAACCAATGCAAATGACATGTTCACACAAATAATGTGGAGAGGACCATTTTCATAACAATGCACAATTCCCAACAACTCAAATCATGATACAATATCAACAATAAATTAATAAACCTTTCAAATTACTGCCAACACATCACACATCAAAAGATATACCTTGGTTATATTTTAAATTATTTTTCTCGAACGTATCCTAATTTTTGGCCTAATTCTTCTTCTGATGATCGATTCAACCTCTGATCAAAAGGATATACCTTGGTTATATTTCATCTCTTCAAAAAATTTAGTAATGAACATATAAAATTATGGAATGAATCTTTTTTTAAAGTAAAAGTTTTACTACTGAAAACTTCCAAAAATACAACGTTTCAACAACATTCCTAAACCAAATTCACAAACTAATCTAACATGACTTGGAGCAACTATAGATAGAGGTAAACCAGAAATTTTATGAAAGTTTTCTAAAATGACCTACCGGGTCATTACAATTTTAAACCCCACTGACCATTAACCAAACTTATGTGGCACTAATAATGTTGAGTTGGAAAAATACGTGATAGCACAATTTGACAACAAGTAAATAAGATATTTTACATTAAAAATATTTAAATAATAATAATAATAATCATTTTAAAAAATAATAATAAAGAAAACCTATCTTCCTCAACCATCCCCACCCCACCCCAATTTCTGACCCTCTCTCCTTCGTCCCCAACCCTCGCTCTTCTCTTTTTCTTCATCTTCTTCTTGGAAATTCTCCCACCACACCCACCCTCCTCCTCCTCCTCCTCCTCCTCCTCCTCATTCTCTTCTTCATCCACTTCCTCCTCAATCCACACTTTAATCAACCGCTAACCCTAACTACTTCGATCTGCCCCTTTCCTAACCCTTTTAAATTTTAGTTTTTTAGTCTAAAAGTATTGAGATTATTATTCATGTTATTAGGATTAAAAAAAGAGGTCTAAGTATGGATTAACATGAATGATGATGGTAGATATTGAAAAATTTAAAACTCCATTGATAAGTTAGAGAAAGCTTGAAAAATAACAACTGGGTCTGTGAATTTGTGAAATTAATTCAAAATTGTGATTGGGGTTAGTTGAATTTGTGTTGTTGAACTTGTATTTGAATTTTCAAGTCAAATGGGGAATTTTTTTATCGATTTGACATGAATTTAGTGTTCAATTTGTGAGTAAATATGAAGAACATGCTTATCTGGAAATTTTTAGAAATTACAAAAGTGGCTTAATTGAATTTTTTTTTATTTTTTACGTGTCATTAAAAAGGACGTGGAATTTCATGTGTAATCAATTGTACTTCACGCACACTAGTCAGATGAAAAAAAGGTTTAAAATGTTGTGTTCTAATGAGTTTAAGGATTTAGTTGACAAATTGATAAGTATGAAGGTCCAACTTACAAACGAAGTCAAGTACAGGAGTCTCCCAGGCCATTTCGCTTTTTTCTTTATTACAAAAATAAGGATATATATACTTGGACACCAAGTATATTGTATGTACATCTACTTTACAACACGAGAGAAGGCCCAAAATAGTCTCATCTTTGAGTTAAGACTCAAAGTCATCCTTGTGTTTTCACATGGAGCACTAATAGTCCCTCATGTTTGCAATATTGGTGCACTTTTGGCCCTCCCCTAAGCTTTTCTTATTTTTTAACATTAATTTTGATCATAATTTTATGTAAGGAATGGCCCATAGTCTTTTCATATATTTAGTAAAAATAATTACTCTATGTGAGAGAAGGTGAGAAGAAGAGCATTTTGTTCTATTCAGTATAAATATTACTGCAACTAAACTAAGAACATTTTAACATATGACATTGCAAGAAAAGAAAAATGTATACTATTGCACGTGAAATCGTCGTGATGAACCTCTCGACTTTACCTGCAATACGATTTCTACTAAACAAAACAAGGTATTTTTCTTCTCACAATCTCTCACATGGAGTGATTATTTCAACTAAATATATAAAATAACGATTAAACATTCCATACATAAATTATGAATAAAATCAATGTAAAAAAATAGGCAAAATTTTGAAGGAGGACCAAAAGTGCACCCATATTGCAAACATGAGGGACTATTAATGCTCCATGTGAAAATTCAAGGATGACTTTGAGTCTAAACCCAAAGATGAAGGACTATTTTGGGCCTTTTCTCTTACAACACAAAGTATATTGCGTGAACATCCATATTACAACACAAAGTATATTATGTATACATGCATATTACAACAGAAAAAATATTTATATGGATATCCATTTTATAACATTTACATATTTTAAAAATAGATGAAAATTATAATAAGTCACCATAGTTCATAGTATCTAAAAAGAGTTTGCCAAAAATACTGCAGTGCGAGGAAAAACTAATTTCTCCATTTGACTCTCCAAATAATACATTTGACTATTCACATGAAACAACAACTAATTCGAAATCTCTTTTGAAGCTACGCAATGCACTTCATGATTTTCCAAAAAATAATGAAGATGAATTAGTTATAGGGTGAAAATCGTTTACACTCCCCAAGTTTTGGTTTAAAAATCAACCTTTCCCCCCTCAATTTTGAGAAATAATCATTCTCCTCCCTCTATTATATGGAAAATCTATTTTACCCTAATTATTTTTTATCCTCCATCTATATAACATCTTTTATTATTATATATATAATGTTTATTTTTAATCTTTGTCTTTATAGATTTTTATTTAAGTTCAATAGCATTATAATTTAAAAGTTTGTTGCGAAACCTAATGTTATTTTTTATGATTGTTATTTTAATATTACATACATTAAGTTTCACTTGTCTCTAAGACACAATACATTAACGTGGTCTTTAATTTTCCTCAATTGATATCTATGTCCTCTAACTTATGTGCGCACATGTAGGCATTTAATTTTCTATTTAGTTGAACAAGTAGACACTCACACACCCGTCTTACACATAGCATAATGTATGTCTTATATAGAATAATACATTCAGTTTGAGTGTGTCACAATTCCAAAAATTAAAGTCATGATGTCACACACCCTGAGAACCCAAAAATTGTGTGTAAGTCGAAATAAATAACACATACGAGACTTCTAAAGGGAAGTCAAGAAACGATAAGAAACAATAAAGAAGTTTCCAAAATTTGATCGCATAAGTATAAAGAGCATCTAATATATTTCTAGATTCTATAATACATCATAAGTTTCAAAAGTAAATTAAATATTGTAAATGATAGATGGAGACCAATGACAATCTGAAAAGAAGGATTTCACCACAACTTTGAATTAAAAGAAATCACTAAATCTAATCAGCCGCTGCGAAAATCAATCTAACTAAGATCTGCATCAAAAGGATAAAAGAAGTAGGGGTGAGGACAATCCACATGTACTCAGTAGGTTATACCGATTGAGTATAATCAACTAATCAGACTTAAAATATAAACTATGAAATGCTTTCACCTGCACGCTGAAATTTTTTATTCTGACATTGGTGTTGCCAATTTATATAATAACGGTGTGAATAAAGTAAACACAAAAGGGGTATAGATTATACTCAAATCAACATATAAACAAGTTACATAATACAAAAAAGTTGATCAATGTGATGTAATGAGATGATAAAATGATGGAATGATGTGGTGGAACCAAGGTCGTCGCATAACCTGTCGTGTACACTTTGTAGAGCTTTAGCTTCTAGACAAGGACCCATGGGGACTA